TAGAAGGGTGTGGTGATGTGTCACATCCCTCTTAGAAGGGTGTGGTGGTGTATCACATCTCTCTTGGAAGGTTGTGGTGGCGTGTCACATTCCTCGTAGAAGGGTGTGGTGGTGTGTCACATTCCACGTAGAAGGGTGTGGTGTTGTTTCACATCCCTCTTAGAAGGGTGTGGTGATGTGTCACATCCCTCTTAGAAGGGTGTGGTGGTGTATCACATCTCTCTTGGAAGGTTGTGGTGGCGTGTCACATTCCTCGTAGAAGGGTGTGGTGGTGTGTCACATCCCTGTTAGAAGGGTGTGGTGGCGTGTCACATCCCTCGTAGAAGGGTGTGGTGGTGTGTCACATCCCTCGTAGAAGGGTGTGGTGGTATGTCACATTCCTCGTAGAAGGGTGTGGTGGTTTTTAGGTCTTACAGTGAACATTTTGTATGTTTGAAGTAGCTGTACAACTGTTACTCCCACGTGGTTATTCACTGACTTAATGTTTTATATTTCGACTGTTGGTGAGATTCAGGTTAGTATAAAATTGATAATATTTGACGCAAAGATACGGAAAATACGAATAGTTCAGTTGATACTTTGGATGTTATGAATTTGTTGTCGTTTTTTTATAAATAAGTGGCTAGGCGTGGCACTATAGTTAACAATGAATTCAAGAATGACTCATTATAAGAGTGACAGTCAAATCATACTATTCCATAAGAATAGCACAAGTATTAGCGGTAGCTACGGTTGGCTATCTGCCTTCCCTCGTGTCTCTTGGTTAAAAATTAGGGGTGGCGGTTGACTAGCTGCCTTTCTTCGTGTCTCTTGGTTCAAAATTAGGGGCGGCGGTTGACTAGCTGCCTTCTCTCGTGTCTCTTGGTTCAAAATTAGGGGCGGCGGTTGACTAGCTGCCTTTCTTCGTGTCTCTTGGTTCAAAATTAGGGGCGGCGGTTGACTAGCTGCCTTCTCTCGTGTCTCTTGGTTCAAAATTAGGGGCGGCGGTTGACTAGCTGCCTTCTCTCGCGTATCTTGGTTCAAAATTAGGGGCGGCTAGCGCAGATAGCCTTTTATGTAGCTTTGCACGTATATCCAAACAAACTTGAAAACATCTTGATTGTAAAACCTATTTCGAAAACTACTACTAACTCGTTACTCAGAAGGCTTATAACGCTATAAACCTGGTTCTGTATGTTAGACAGTTATTTGAATTCTACAAACGTTAAATACACGATACGTATTTTGCAACCTTTTTTTTTCTGCAATATTTTTACTCGACATTCAGTATCGTACAGTTTGTGTTTGTTACCCTAATGTCAAGTTAGCGATGATAGCCCATTAACACGAAGTGTAAACTACATTTTAATGCTTGCCAGTCATTAGTTCCCGACTTCCCGGAGTAGAACAAACAAGTTTTTTTTCTCCTCCCTCCCCCCTTTAAGATGGATGATGTCGTCTTTAATGTGGTACTGACATACATTATAGATGAAGCTTTTTTGAAGGAGGGTGTTGTATTTTGTTTGGGATGAACTGGAAGTAATGCTACGTGCTGAGTGATTATAGCCCATGTAACGTTCACTATTTGCACAGCCTTGTCTCTGAAGGTCATTTATTTTTTTCTCGAATGTTCACAGATTTCTTTGCACCTCACAGACTACATTTTCACCTGTTATGGAGTTCCACCCCATGAGCATAATAGTTTCTGATGTACTTCGATTAAAAAGAATTACATTAGCAGTGGCTCTAGTTGGAATGTGGGTTTCCGTATAGGTGGCTTATACACCCACTGGTGTAGAGGTTGATACTAGAAACGTAACGAGATTCTTAAAAGACAGTGCAAGCTAAGCCTACTTTTACAATAATATCTTGAGATTTTCGGTTTCTTTTTCAGTGTAAATATATTTCTAATGACGTCGTGCGTACAAACGTTTTTGGGTGATGCAGCATTAAAACTAGAATACCAGAAGTTGGTAACTGATATATTTATTTCCATAACGCTTCAGTTAATACAAAGACGGGACACCACTAATAAATCTTCACATAATTCTAAATACTAGAATAATAATTTTGGCAATTGATATAACCTCCAGTTCTGTTGGATATTGTCACGTGTTATATTCATACTACTGGGAAAATTCCTTTTCTTATTTTTTATGTTAGGGCATAATTAAAATCTGCTCAATACATATTTTATGTATACCATTCATATTCAACTCAGCTGAGTTAAATATGTATATCACTCATATTTAACTCAGCTGAGTTAATAATCTATAAAGAGAAGAATTTAGATTCACAGTTTTATAACTGCGCATGCGGGCATGGATATTTTGGCGATTAACTTTTACAAGTGCTAGTTTTTCCTAACTTTTGTCGAGCTACTAATTCATTTGTTCTACATACAAAACTGTGTGACGTAAATGTCATATATACCAGGATTGCCAGCCTAACAATTTTATTTTTACTGACATACAGACAAACAATGGTATTTGTTTTATTGTAAACAAGCTGAAATACCCACCAACTGACGGGGAATGTTTAAACTTAATGAAAACAATGTAAATTTAACAGCAATCATATATTTCAAAGTAATAACTGGAACGTAAACTTTATCTCAAAATTTTAAAATTATAACAAAGCTTCTTCATAAACAACATTTGCAGTTCGCTTTTCATCTACCAACAAATAAAGATTTTGAGGTGATTCCTCCACCCTTGAACACCCTACATCTCATTGATCATGAGAAAAGCATGATTGTTTGAGAAACAATCCAGTAACTTTCATATTTTGACTTTGAATCCCTTTACAATATTCAACATTGTCTAAAGCGTCAACCTACCAAAATTGTTTGAGATTGACTCAATAGGCTGGGAGTAATTAACCAACAGGTTTTACAAAATAGAAATAGGGTTACGTTCAATTTTGTCCCCCATAGGACATTCACCATACTTCATGGTGTTTACATGCAAATTTTGGTTGAGATTGGCCTAGTAGGCTCAGAGGAGTTAGTGTTCAAACAAACGTACTTTTCGTCTTTGGACAGTTGACGACCATAATACAAACGGGTTTTTCTAAAGTTCATTGCTGGTAGTAGTAGACATTGAAAAGTCGAATTGTTGGTCGGTGTCATGGGAATAGGTGAGACAATCGCTCCAGGGTCTTGACCCACATAGACCCGAAAAAAGCCATTAAAAAAGTATAGGTTTTAAATAAGTAACGGCGAAATGGTAAAAATATAATGTAATAATACTTAGTAATATTTGAACCCTTCCTTTGAAGCCTTCTGTAGTCTAACTGATATTTAACAAATGCTATTGTAAACAACCTTAAATAACTTGAACTAGTATTACGCCATCTGTCATTAAAGCATTGGTAAGAAGCAGCGTAAAATACATGTTTATAAAAATTTAGAATAATAAAGATAAATTTAATGTTAAAAATAGTTTCATGTCGGATAATTAGTTGTCAGAGGAAGTGTCCAAGAATAAAGGAAAGGGAAGTAGTGTACGTATGTGGGAGGAAGGCTTGTGGACACTTGGGGGGAGAGAGTACAGGAAATACCCTCCCCGGTGGACACTTGAGGGGGAGGTACCGGAAATACTCTCCCCGGTGGACACTTTGGGGGTACAGGAAATACCCTTCTCGGTGGACACTTTGGGGGTACAGGAAATACCCTTCTCGGTGGACACTTGGGGGGTACAGGAAATACCCTCCCCGGTGGACACTTGGGGGGTACAGAAAATACCCTTCCCACTTCTGACCTTTGTTATATACCACTGTTTTAGTATATTTATCTTATCAGTTATTACGTACATTTAAAAGTTTTGATTTGAAACAATAGTAACTTATAATGTTAATCTGACCCATGAAGTAAACTCAAGTGAATAATATCGATTTGATCCATGAAACAAACTCAAGCGACTCAAAGCATATTAACTCATTATATGGAGAAGATTTTTGAAGCAACACACGAGTGACCCGAAACTTATTTATTCATTATATGGAGTTGGTCTACGAAACAACTTAGCATTCATGTTTTCTTCGCAGGCCAGTGTGATCTTTCGGGTAAACTTAGCTCTTAGGTTTTCTTCTCGGGGTCAGTGTGGTTTTCTGTTTAAACGTAGCATTCAGATTTTTTTCGCAGCTCTGTATGGTGTTCTGGGTAAACTCAACTCTCATCTGTATTATTTCGCAGCCAGTATGGTTTCCCGAGTAAACTTAGCTCTCAGGTTTTCTTCACGGGTCAGTGTGGTTTTTTATTTAAACCTAGCATTTAGGATTACTTCTCAACTCTGTGTAGTTTTCCGGGTAAACTTCGCTCTCACATTTTGTTGGCGGCTCAATGTGGTAAAACGTAACAAACCATCCTAAAATAGCACTTCGAGTGAAAAGTTGAACAGCTCCAGGCTCTCCTTGCAGAATGAAAGAGTATAATATTATACTAGAAACACAAGTCTAAATTTTTACTTAAGTTTGTGATTGAGACTTTGTTGTTTTTTCAGTGAATGTGGATGAATGGTTGAAGAGTGCCGATGTCGAATCTCTAGGTCCTCACGACAACCTTAGTCGTACCGGAAGTAGATCATCAAGAAGTAGCCAGAGGTCGTCTCACTCAGAGGTGAGTCGTGCGTAAATATAAGAAAACAGTTTTACTTGTATTATTGTGTTTCATTCTTTACATTTACTGTTTCCCTTATCCTTCTTTTTAGAATATTAACAAATGCCACTCTTTTTTTGGAAGCTGGTTGAATCTTTATTAAAATTTACTTGTCATCTATCAAGTTAATGTTAGTGCATGGTCAGGCTGATTGAGTGTTAAGTAGGATTTACTTGTGAGTCAATAAGAAAATGATCCTGCAAAAATTGTTGTAAGATTCACTTGCGAACCATCAAGATGATGCTTCAGATTGAGGCTGGTTGAACCTTTAGTAAGATTTACTTGCGAACCATCAAGATGATGCCTCAGATTGGGGCTGATTGAGCCTTTAGTAAGATTTACTTGCGAACCATCAAGATGATGCTGCCGATTGGGGCTGGCTGAGCCTTTAGTAAGATTTATTTGCGAACCATCAAGATGATGCTTCAGATTGGGGATGGTTGAACCTTTAGTAAGATTTACTTGCGAACCATCAAGATGATGCTTCAGATTGGGGCTGGTTGAGCCTTTAGTAAGATTTACTTGCGAACCATCAAGATGATGCTGCCGATTGGGGTGGTTGAGCCTTTAGTAAGATTTACTTACGAACCATCAAGATGATGCTTTAGATTGAGGCTAGTTGGATCTTTAGTACAATTTACTTGTGAGTTATCAAGATAATATTACTTCTAAGTGAAACACTTCAAGCCATGAGTTCCGTTGGATTATCCTTTGGATAATAGATGAACTGTTGTATGAAGTATTTTATGACTTAAGTTGGATTATCCTATGGTTGATATATGAACTATTGTGTGAAGTATTTAAGTTGGATTCACTTTTTGGATCATGGAAGGACACTGTTGGATGAAGTATTTTAAATCCTGAGTTGGATTATTCTATGGTTGATAGATGAACTATTGTGTGAAGTATTTTAGGAAGTATTTAAGTTGGATTCACTTTTTGGATCATAGAAGAACACTGTTGGATGAAGTATTTTAAGTCCTGAGTTGGATTATTCTATGGTTGATAGATGAACTATTGTGTGAAGTATTTTAGGAAGTATTTAAGTTGGATTCACTTTTTGGATTATAGAAGAACACTGTTGGGTGAAGTATTTTAAGTCCCGAGTTGGATTATGCTTAGGATCATGGAGGAATATTGTTGGGTGAAGTATTTTAAGTCCTGAGTTGGATTATGCTTTGGATCATGGAGGAACACTGTTGGGTGAAGTATTTTAAGTTTCGAGTTGGATTACCATATGGAAGGTAGAAAGACATTATATGTGAAGCATTTTAGGATGTGACTTATTTAATTTATGATATAACTTCCACATATAAACTTTTGTAATGTTCAATTAGAAAACCAAGTTTTAAATTTCTTTATTGAATAAGTGCAAGTATTAGTGATACCCAAAGGATGTTGAATCCCTGTATGAACACCAAAAACAATTACAATATCTCCATTCTGCCAAGAAGAATGAACACTCCGTGGTAAAACGTTTCTTTTCATTGCCAAGTGTCTCTGAAAGAGTCTACCCCCAGCGGCTCAGCGGTAAGACTGAGGGATCACCCCATAATACAGATAACCCATAATGTAGATTTGCACTTAAGAACAAATAAGAAAAAGTATCTGAAAGAAGTACTACAATCACTGTCTAGAGCCCTTATCACTATTTTCGTCTTGTAGGGGTAGTAACACAACAGCCCTTATCACTATTTTCGTCTTGTAGGGGTAGTAACACAACAGCCCTTATCACTATTTTCGTCTTGTAGGGGTAGTAACACAACAACCCTTATCACTTTATTTTCGTCTTGTAGGGGTAGTAACACAAGGGCCCTTATCACTTTATTTTCGTCTTGTAATGGTAGCAACATAACAGTCCTTATCACTTTATTTTCGTTTTGTAATGGTAGCAACACAACAGCTCATATCGCTTTATTTTCGTCTTGTAGGGGTAGCAACACAAGAGCCCTTATCACTTTATTATCGTCTTGTGGTGGTAGCAACACAACAACCCTTATCACTTTATTTTCGTCTTGTGGTGGTAGCAACACAACAACCCTTATCACTTTATTTTCGTCTTGTAGTGGTAGCAACACAAGAGCCCTTATCACTTTATTATCGTCTTGCGGTGGTAGTAACACAAGAGCCCTTATCACTTTATTATCGTCTTGTGGTGGTAGTAACACAACAGCCCTTATCACTTTATTATCGTCTTGCAGGGGTAGTAACACAACAGCCCTTATCACTTTATTTTCGTCTTGTAATGGTAGCAACACAACAGCCCTTATCACTTTATTTTCGTCTTGTAATGGTAGCAACACAAGAGCCCTTATCACTTTATTATCGTCTTGTGGTGGTAGTAACACAACAGCCCTTATCACTTTATTATCGTCTTGTGGTGGTAG